AATTTAATTTTATTCAAAAACTGTGTTTTTACATGCAAAAAAATTAATTTTTATTAAAGAAAAACTAATGTTTACTTCATTATATATGAAAATAGAAGTAATTATTAAGGAATAATACTATTTATAGTAAAACCTATTCAAAACGGAACCTTCATAAAACGGAACACTGAAGAATTCTTCGAAACTCAACGATTTTCTGTTAAAAAAAAAAACTTGTTAAAGCGGAAACCTGTTTAAACAGGAAGAATTCTTCAGAATGGAACGATTTACTATTAAAGTAAACCTGATAACAACGGAAACCATTACAGTTGATTCACTATAACACTGTTGATAATTCCGTTTTATATGAATTCCATGTTGTACGAGTCACTTAGATTTTACAAATACTTATGCGGGGCTGTGAACGGCTCACGTATTTGTAAAATCTAAATGACTCGTACAACATGGAATTCATATAAAACGGAATGATCAACAGTGTTATAAAGGGGAGGTCGACTGTAATCGGAAAAATAAATTCGTTATTGTAAGAATCCGTTTTACATAGATTTTGCTATACATGAAGAACATTTGAGAATTTGGAAGTAATATTATATTACGTATTTTTTCATGTGAATAATAATAATGATAATAATAATATATAATTATTCTTCTTAAATATATATTATTTTTTTACGTATTTTTTGCTGTTATTCTTCTATACTCAATTATTGGACAAAATAGGTAAAGTACAACGATAGACCACAATATAAAAGAATGAAGACGATAGAAGAAAATACAATTGCTCCTTTTTCTTTGATAAAAGAATTCCAAAAACATCTACAATTTCCTGTTTTTTTTATTTCTTTATTTATTATTATTTTTTCCTTAAATTACCAATTTTACATCTAAAATAAAATTCAAAGAAAATCAGAATTAAAATGTCATTTTCTTTTACGTTAAAACATTTAACATATGTGTTTTTAATTTAAATATATATATCCAAAAATTAGTTAACCGATATAGGGAAAATTCAGTCGATTTGGTTAACTGATTTTTGGTCCAATCCATGTTTATAATATTATAAGATATTAATTTAACGATTTAGAATTAAACAATAAAATATATAATAAACAGAATAACTATTTAATTAATTACAATTTTTATTACATACAATTTAATTAAAACTATTTCTAAATTGTTTTTTAAAAAAATGTACAGAATAGCCCAAAAAACTGTTAACCGAGTAGCCCGAGTTTTTTAAATTTAGGTTAACTGACTTTTGGGCCAATTGATATTTCAATTATAACTGAATTTAAAAGAATGACTATAATTCTTTTGAATTAAACAGTGAAAAATATCTTTAAATATGTTTTTAATCATTTTAAAATAAATTTTAATTAATAAACCGTCGGCAGGATTAATTTTTCAAGCGCTTATACATTAAAAAAAAACAATCCATACTTTAAGCTGAATTTTATTAACAAATTCTTGATCATATTTAACAAAAATTCCCAATTAAATAAGGAAATTGTCATCAAAAAAATGTTTACGATTTAGTAATTAAGTTTAAATTTTAATTATAACTAACGTTGATTTCCATTTTATTTCTTTCTTTATTTATTTTAAATTATTTATTCTTGACTTAATAATTAGGATAAACAAGAAAAATACAAATTATTTAATAAATTATAACAGAATTTTTACTTTATTCATTATTTATGAATTCTATTCTAATTATTTTTAATAAAATTATATTCATTAGTTAAGTAATTTTATCCAATATATATTTTATGTAAAAAAAGTTTATCATCTATAATAATCAAATTAAATTCAATAATTACTTTAAAAATTTATATAATTTAATCGTTTAATTAATTTATACCAAAAGAATTGGGATTTTTCTGTATGGATGGATGTTATTTGTGTAGGGATGTTTATCCAATACGAAGCTTAGTAACACAATAACTCCTGTATCTTTTGTCGAAAATTTACGAAATTTTGCAGTGAGCTTTCTGTATTATAGTGAGATATTTATGGAAATTTTCAGGAAAGTCAGGCCATTGGTTCGGGAGATATTGCTCCATTTCTTTAATATTTCCCGAACCAATCTGAAGACTTAAAAGCCCATCAATGGACGTGTGGGAAAAAAAAACCACTAAAAAGTGGTAGTTGGTGGTTGATTTGCGCCTGGTTACATGAATTTTTTTGGGTTTTCTTCACGTTAGTAGCACCTAAATAGGAACCAGTTTCTCGCAGAAAGTCCTCTCGGGAGGCATTCCCTCCCTTGGAAAATCGTCCACGTGTCGTGTTACCAGGGAATTTTATGTATTAGGGCATTAATACTATCAAATATTGGTGGGTTAAAGATCAAAAGGATGGGGAGGAAGAAGGTGGTCACGTGTCACATCTCGAGAGGGGTCGGCTTTAATAAAGATTTTACTGGTTATTAATTTAATTTCTGCAGTTCTTTTATCTACCCTCAAAATTTAATTCTTCGCTATTTTATAATAATTAATCATATAGAAACTTTTGTTGCTTAATTGTTACTCCTTTTCTTGATAGATCCTTTAGCTGAATTACACTGAAGACAATGCACGAAATGCATTTCTTTATATAATAAATTTGGCATAGACAATTGCTGGTGTGTTCCTTGTATGATTAGTTCCTTTCATCAAAATTTATGCTTATCATTGGATAAACAGTTCTATTTAATAAAATCTCATAACAGATGGCACCACACACAATTTTAACTTTTTTTTTTTTACCGGAAAAGTTATTCAAAATTTATTGAAAAATTCATAAAAATCTGTATAATTTTAATTAATTTAATTTCTTTTAATAGATTTATTACTTTAATGACAATTAATGTAAAAAGAAAACAATTTAATTTTATTCAAAAACTGTGTTTTTACATGCTAATTTCATGGGTAAATCCTATTAAAGCTTACAAAGTTACCTTTTGTGGATTTTTTTAGAATAAAAATTTCCTANGACATATTCCTAGTAGAGTTGGACTTAATGACAATTTTACTCGTTATTAGCATTTACAATTTTTTTTATAAAACTCATCTCTATCCTCAAAATTAAGTTTTTTGCTATTTTATAATAATTAAAAGTAATAAATTTTTTACTGTATTATCATAACAGATGACGCCACCACGTGAAAGTTAAGCAACTCGTTGATGGATTTTTTGGTGTGGTAGTCAACGTGTAAACTCAATACAAAAATAATTATACGAACGTCCAAAACTATTTCTAGACCATATATTTCAATGTTTATGGAAACTGGATATATTGTATACAGTATACATGTCTAGGGCACACTCGCATATACAGTATACAGTTAAGAAAAAATTGTTGGCACGCCACTACTTGAAAGTTTCTAAAACATATGTATTGTACACTAAAAACCATATTATATGTCTGTATATATTTATTTATTTTTATTTTAAAATATAATATTTTTCAAATATTTTGTAAGATTTTCAGAGTTTTTTTCTTTTGACAATATTGAGATTAATGGTATTTAAAGTAAAGGAGATTAAGTCGATTTCAAAATTTAGAATATTAAAATTTAAGCTTGAAAGATCTTTATAAAAGTTTACTTTTAAGTTGTAAAAGTATATAAATTATAATTTATAGTTTGTTAAATATATTAAAACTTAAAAATATTTTCTATGATAACGTTATTTTTCATAAAATTAATACATTTTTTGAAACTAATTAACCACTAATTATTTATTGTCTTTAATTATGAATTATTTTATAGAATTTTTTTATAAGAATTGTTGTAATTACTTGTATATTTTCCTCAATTTTAATGCATAATATTTGAAATATTCAGGAAATGTATAGAGCGAATAATCATCAAAAGATTTATTCTGTTACTAATTATAATACAAAGTAATTACAATTAAAAAGTAAGAGCTCAAATTCTCTGTAGAAAACTATTGAGCAAATCTCAACTAAATTTGGTACTGTCCTGAGTATGAGATTTCGATTTACTTCAATATTCAGCCACTAGAACGAAATTTAGCGCTGCTACTTCCTTAATATACATATTAAATACGTTTTATGACTAATTTCAGTTATAAAAGGAACCAAAAAACGTTTATTTACAACCTGCAATAAGTGAATAGTCATGATTTTCACTTTACTTGATCATATGTTACTTGTTAAACTCTTACCACGACTAGTACTTAAATAATATAGAATGTTCTAAGGCTTGTTTGAATATTTTAAACAGTGGGTTTTGTTTACTTTTCTATTATAATAAACTCCTAAATATTCATACATATATAAAGAATCTTTTAAGCACTTTTTATTAGTTTAAAGAACAGAAAACATATTTCAATAAATATTCATGAATATATTTGATGATGTTATTTAAAGATTCCTAAATAATTTATAATGAAAACGAGCAAAAATTATTGTGACAAAGATAAAATTTTTAATTTATTTAATTTGAAATATATGCTCTCGATTTTAATAATGTTTTGCCCCTGTACATCATACTTTTCCTAATAACAAGAGTCATGCCGGTCATCTATCTAATTTCTTTCTGGAGAAACTTTTTAAATTGAAATCACAGAACTTCCGATCTGTACCAGAAGTTCATATATATTTAACCCTATTCTTTCTACATCTGCTCTCGATTTTTATCGATCTAACTTTGTTCTCGAGATTAAGAAGAACGAACAGAAGAAAGACATCAGTGGAAATGTATAGGTCTGTAATTTGAAAATTGTAGCCTAATAAATAAATATATAGTTAACCTGTGTAAACCGGACTCGTACGATGCCTGTTTAAGAGGTTTTCATTTCTGAATACGTTTTTTTAAAACAGAAAATATCTGAATTCCTAAAAAAAATCCGTTTTATGAAGGTTCTGTTTTTGTCATGTTTTACTATATATAATAATTGTAATTATATATAAGTAAATAACAAAATTTAGCCATAAAAATGTTTTTAATATATCAAAAATTCATTTTGCATTCTGAAAATTACGTATTTATTTTTCAGGTTTATTAAAATTACAACATATATTCCACTTAACTACTGATAAATATAAATTAGAAGTTCGAGTGGTTAAGAGGATATCAAGTGCCAAAGATGCAAATGAATTTCTCAGTTATCTAGAAAACAGCGATCGACAGGGACTAAAATATGTTATTTTGGACTGTAATGCCACCACAGCTCAAGATATTATCGTCAACCATGTGAAACATATCCACATGGGAAGAAGAAACTACCATTACCTCTTAACAAGTTTGGTATGTTTACGCTTGTTTCTTTTTTATTTTTTAAAACAATTTTAAGTAGATTATGTTCATTTGTGTTGTTTACTTTCATTAAATTCGACGTCTTACATAAAATATTCTATTTATTTATTTTTATGCAAATTAAAAGGTGAAAAAGTTTCAAACGTAGAGATGTCATCAAAATCGATGAATTCTTTACGAAGATAATGCTTACTGAGTATATAAATTAAAGATTATTCTTGTTTTAAAATCATTCTGTATGTTATAATTAAAGAAAATTAATTATTTTTTTATGTTTTTTTCTCTGCTGTTTCTTTATTTTAACAGTTATCTTAATGTTGCTGTGCTCTTATCAATACAGCTCGTATTGATTATTATCGTATTGAACTTTATGTGTTTATTTAAGGTATGTGTATTTGTATGTAGGTATATATTTGATTTGTGTTTAGGTATATACGGTTTGTTTTTCTCTCTGTGTGTACTGTACATTACGTATAGATNTTTTTAATATATCAAAAATTCATTTTGCATTCTGAAAATTACGTATTTATTTTTCAGGTTTATTAAAATTACAACATATATTCCACTTAACTACTGATAAATATAAATTAGAAGTTCGAGTGGTTAAGAGGATATCAAGTGCCAAAGATGCAAATGAATTTCTCAGTTATCTAGAAAACAGCGATCGACAGGGACTAAAATATGTTATTTTGGACTGTAATGCCACCACAGCTCAAGATATTATCGTCAACCATGTGAAACATATCCACATGGGAAGAAGAAACTACCATTACCTCTTAACAAGTTTGGTATGTTTACGCTTGTTTCTTTTTTATTTTTTAAAACAATTTTAAGTAGATTATGTTCATTTGTGTTGTTTACTTTCATTAAATTCGACGTCTTACATAAAATATTCTATTTATTTATTTTTATGCAAATTAAAAGGTGAAAAAGTTTCAAACGTAGAGATGTCATCAAAATCGATGAATTCTTTACGAAGATAATGCTTACTGAGTATATAAATTAAAGATTATTCTTGTTTTAAAATCATTCTGTATGTTATAATTAAAGAAAATTAATTATTTTTTTATGTTTTTTTCTCTGCTGTTTCTTTATTTTAACAGTTATCTTAATGTTGCTGTGCTCTTATCAATACAGCTCGTATTGATTATTATCGTATTGAACTTTATGTGTTTATTTAAGGTATGTGTATTTGTATGTAGGTATATATTTGATTTGTGTTTAGGTATATACGGTTTGTTTTTCTCTCTGTGTGTACTGTACATTACGTATAGATACAGGTGTACTTGTGTATGATTAGGTATGCATTTTTGCTTTCTCTCTGTGCTTGTGTTTATCTACTAAACCAATCTATCTGTGGAAAAAGCTAATTTTTCCTCAGAGGTTAAAGTTTAGATTTTTGTCTCCTCTTTCTTTAGTCATTTTTGTTAATGGCTTATACAGGAGGAGATACTGATTAGTATATTAGAAAGCTATATTGTGTGTAGGAAAAGTACAGTTGTTGAATTGAAGTAACATTCAGTGTTAATATACACTACCTTTATATACAAGAATATTAAAATCATTTTGTTCATGTTTTGATGCAATTTGTATATTTGTATGAAAGTATACACACGTATACTTTCATACGGTATATATACAAGGTAGCCCGAAAGTCAGTTGACCGTCATAACGACTAAATTCAATACTTTATTACAAACTTTGCAAGTTTAAGGCTCAAATTATAACGTTTTAACAATTTCATTATAATAATCTATACTTAAAAGAGATCTGAAGTATACGGTTAACAAACTTTTGAGCAACACGGTATGTAAATATTCAAGTTATATAGTGATTCTGTTAATGTATTGTTTAAAAGATCTACAGAAATAATTTATATCAGATAAATGTTTTAAAACTTCTAAAAAGTTTACAATTATACACGAAAAAGATTTAAAAATCGTTTTAAATAATTATTTTTCTAAGTAGTTACAAGCTCAATTTGTTTCAAAATTGTGTTTCTTTGTAATCGAATCACTGCACAATACATACAAATTCCAGGAATTCATTATCAGTCACTGATTAAACATGTAACTTTCTATCTATATTTTACCATGTAATATCATCAGATAAGAACAATTGTTTATTCTGTGAATAATTCACTAACATAATAAAGATTTATACAAGCGTATCTTAATCTGCACAGCTATATCCTTTCAGCGATGCATCAGTAACAAAGCTGTTCATGTGTTTGTAGTGCTACCTACTTCAATTATTAACGTTGTTGTTTGTGTTTATTCTATAAATTCTATTCAATTAAATTATTTTATATTCTAAATATTTTGATATTTTCTAGTGTTAAACTTTCTGATATTGATTTTGTATCGCTTCCTGGAAAGTGATCATCGAGTCGAGTGCTATCGTTATCATTCATAATCAAGTAGAGATGAATAATGCATTATATTGACTTAATGATACTAATTTCAATAATTACTTTATTGGTAATCGATTCTGATAACAATATTAGTATCACGTAATCGATATATGATCAATATCACTAGTAATAAAGTAATGTTGCTTGTACTTTGTTCTTGTGGTAGAAGACATCGTTCAAATTGTTTCCTTAGGCAAACCTCATATATTAATAAAATTAACTATTTTAATTATAAAAAAAATCATCTATAAACCGGAATAAGGTGTTTAACCACATCATATTCATCATCATCAGCTTGTTATCATCTTTATCTTTATGCAACGTTATTAAAGATTGCTTATAATCGGTATATAATCTTTACTATCATCTTTTTCTTATTTTACTTCTACTTGCATGCGACTTTAGTAAAGATTGTTCACAGTTAATATAATACATTTGACAGTTTCATCATGATCATCATCATTATCTGCTTCTTCCACTTTTTCTAACTATATGCAATTTTCTGTATATAATTAACTCCTGTAATATCATAATTTATTGTAATTATTTCCTAACTCTTTATAACTGAAAACAATATCTCAGAACCATATTTTTATCATAATCATCTTGTTACATAATATAAATAGATTTAATGCTTAATTTATTCTTAGCAACGTGCTTTTTGAATGGATTTTCCTATATATAATAGCAAACTTTAATTTTATCACCCCATCTGATTATCTCAGATTGCAACTAATCTTTTACTCGTCATTCTCATTCTCATTCTTTTCCTCATCTTACTCCTCCTCATCCTACTTCACCTCTTTCTCCTCTTCCTCTTCGTCATCATACTTCATTCCTTTCTTCTCCTCCTCATCCTACTTTCCCTCTTTCTTCTACTCCTCCTACGCCTCCTGTGCCTTTTCATCATCATTATCATTTTTCACTAAAAGCAGATGTTGTTAATTAACGTATATATAATTGACCCAAATTAACAAATCTCTAATAGTTATATTTTCTATGGGTCTCTTTCAAACAACAGTACATGATGGTGCTGATGATTTCTGCTTCCATTTTCTTTATCTGATAATCTTTGCTCCTCTTTATCCTTCTCCCTAAGCATCAATAAAGCTATAAACTTATAACTTCTAACTGGCAACGAAGGAAATAATTTAATATTCATTTATGCTCTCAACATCTACATCGAATTTAACGAAATTTTCGGCAATTTTAAACATTACTTTTTCTTTCTTATCGCAAATTAAATCCATCGAAAACTTTCCCAAAACGATTTTGCATTTTAAACACATTACAGACAAACAAAATTACCACCAATGATATTAAAACTACTTAATTTACTTTACAAACTAAGAATTTAAATTGATTTATCTCCAGATATTACATTATTAAACATCAATTTTAAATTTATAATTTTTCTAACACACAGAAAGAATTTTTTAAACTGTTTTAGGTAGATAAATAATAATAAAATGGCGTAAAGTATCAAACAATTAACTTCATAAAAGGCAAAGCAAAAGAAGGCTCTAAACCTGAAAATTTATGCTTTAAATTAACGCTTATATGTATAAATTATTTCTAAAACTACATAAAAAGAATGTATTAAGCAGTTCGAAAATATAAAAAATTATGTAAATTATCGAAAAAAAAAAATCAATTTAACAGTGGAGAAAAGTTGGATCTGAAATTTTCCAATTTAAGCACTAATTCAAAGAGTTAAAGCACTAATTTTAAATTTGTTTATTTTCTTAAAAACAAAAAAGAATCTTCTAAATGTTTAGAAAGATAAACGAAAACAAAATATATATATAAAACCTCAAAATTTAAACACCATACTTACGTAAGACGTTTAAATTTTCATTAAAATCTTCATTAGATGCCCACCAGTGTCTGTGTTGATAAAAGCACTGTACAGTACACTGCTATTTTATCGTGGGTTCGCGCCTCGCCAAAGAGGCCAACCTCCCATAAGTCTTTCCGGAGGCATTCCCCCGTGTGTCGCATACGCAAACAGTCTCTCATATTTTTAAATTTAAGGAGTGGTGCGTTATCCTATGGGCAATTCCCCATACCAATCTTTAAAAATGTACGAAATCAACACTATACATGGGGCCTCCTAATTAAAATTTGCCCAAATTTAAAGGTAACACGTAGCCAGCCCCCCTGACGAGGCACGAACCAACGACCGAACTTCCAATGTATAGGTGACGGAACCGCTTAGCCACTGATGAGCCCTGAATTTAAACACTAATTTTATGCCTATAGATTTCCTTCAAAAACCCCTAGATAATCTTATTATTTATTTTATAAGAATAAATAATATTATTATTTAGTCAAATTAAGAAAAAAAATTTTTTTAACAAGATCCAAACGTTGTGTAAAATCTCCTGGCTCTAAACTTGTACATAGAAGTCACGTCCATTCGTGAATTTATCTTGAAAATTGTTATTTGTCATCCATCATAATTTTGTAAAATATACTTTTTTTCTTCTATTATTACCTTTTCAAGAATTCTTTTGCTAGAATATAATGAATGTCAGTTCAGAAGTCATGTTATATTGTGTATTGTGACAAATATGCTAGAAGCATTTTCGAATAACAATTTCGAAAGGATGAATTTATAGCGCAGCATCTTTGAGTAGGTTAGGAATTTCTTACATAGTTTTTATTCTAAAAATAATAATAAAAAATTGACTCTATTTGCTTAAATATGTGCTCAAAAGTCATTAGTAACGATGGCCTAAAGTGTAAATTAAAACTATACATCCTTGAGGGATCCGAACTCATGCCCTTCTGGTTCGGTTTGATGGGAAGAGGCAGCGCAACACGAGGGGAGACTTTCTATAGGAAACTGGTCACTAAATAGGTGATAGAAAATCTGGAAACTTCACGTTGGCGAGGAGCGAACCCACGACCAGGTGTCCAGTGAGCCCTCCCGGGTGGACTTTCTATGGAAGACTTACCCTTATTTAGATGTTAGAAAAGCCAAAAAATCCACACGATCAATCTGTTGGTTAGATGCGAACCCACTATTAATGTTAGGTGGTGTGAACCATTATGCCAGGTGAACACCAAAACATTCTTTAATAGGTTTAATGCTAAACAGTTAAGCTATATGAATATATCTATTATCTATTCTGTATTTTAACGAAACTCCCAAATGCTGCTAAATATAATATATTAATGTATATATATGTAAAGAACGTGGGTTCAAATCCAAAAATGGGATCGAACCCACGACTTTTGTAATGTCGTGTTTTCAACTCCATTTTGGAATTTTTCAGCATTGTTTTTCTTTTGATAAATATATAATTTCTACATTAAAACGTATACTTTGTTATTCATGTTATATATATAACATATTTACCATAAAGCATATTGATACTGATTATATACAGCTACATTATTAAGGTGCTAAGAAGTTACTTAGCACCTTAAAGAATATATCATTCCAGAATTTACAATTATTGAAATAATTATAAGTTATATCAAGTACTATATTATATTATATTTATAACGTATTAACAAACATATAAATGATTAAAATTAGATTTAAATTAATTAATTTTTTTACATCATTAACACAAAGAGTATAGGTTATTCACCTCCATCCTCATAAAAACGTGGTGTAATGATTTGTTAATGTACTACACTAACAAAGTACGTGAAGGACATGAATCACAAATTGGATTCATGAAAATTTTATTAACGTCTGTTTCAAGGAAAAAAACAGAGCTTAAAAATTTTTTTAAATGTAGAATTAATAATTGAGTTTATGTGAAATATTAAAATTTTAATAATTTAAAACTTTAAGCATTCATTTTCAGTCAGAAACTGAATTTTTTGGAATATATTAGGTTAATTTAAAGTAGCGAATTGTTTAGAGTAGGTACTAATCCATGTTCAAAAATATTCTAAACAATTCTTAAATTCAAATACGGAAACCGAATCAAAAGTTCGAATACCGAATTACTTTTAAACTGTGAATTTTTGGAATATATTGAATTTGAAACAGTAAATATACGGTATTATATTTGTGTACAACGGTGAATTTTTGAAATAATTAATTTGTTTACATGAGTTAAAGTTTAGAAACATGGTATTTGTTTAAAGAAGTTATCGAAAGCCTTAGATTTATTCGAATCAACAGGTTTCTTTGAAGAATTAACTTATCGAATAAAGATTTTTAAACGTGGGATTTATTTCAATGTATTCATTTGACACAGAGATTTAAACAAAGCATTGAATTTATTTGAAAGTTTATAATAATTGTAAACTTCAATCTAATGTTAGATTCTATGGAATATCATAAATTGCAACACAATTATAATTCGTGACATTACACGCATCAACGAATTGTTAATGGATCAGAGAATGGATTGAGTTATCTACAATAATCATGGATCGTTTTCCAAAAATACTATTTTAAAAAGCTTACGAGTGTTTTAAAGACTTTACAAAAAAAAAATCGTATTTTTAGTTGAATGCGTTACTATAAATAAACGTATCGTAACGTAATTATGTATTGATGCTTCGTAATGACCTACTGACGCACCGTAACGTAATGACGTACTAATGCATCTTAACGGATAATACAGAGAAAGTAACATGACATTTTAGATGCGTTATAATACTTTCTCTTGACATTGATAAACATATAATTTGAAGTCAATAACCGTAGCAAATAACAAACTGGAGATATTCAGAATTAATCAATGAAGCGAAGACATTCACAGTAATTACAAGAGACATTTAATTCCTTTTCATGCAACTTTATTAAGTAACTATCAATCGAAACGACTGTTAATAAACTCTCTTCATAACGAATTATAAATATTTAAATATAAAACTTAACCGAATAGAAATGTGAAGATTTATTTGTAGGAAGATTTATTTATAGTCAAGAATTTTCTCATGAGAACCTTCTTAACAATAAGGAACAAAACAAACAATTTTTGAAGTTTTTGGATGCAATTATGTATACTGTGGAATATCAACATGATAAGTAAAATATGGGACGTGACAACCATACTTCAAATATACAAATCATTGCTGACTACAAATGAAAAAACTCCATTCTTTTTTAAAACATATCATATATTGTGCTTTTTTTCTACATATTCTAGGATTTTCATTACATATTTAGGCCATTGATGTATATTTAACCCGTGATGTATGTACTGTATAGTACATACATAGNTCGAAATATTGGATTTATTATTTAACTAAATATTGTGATTTATTTGAAAGTAATTTTTAGTAATGTTGTATTTGTTTAGAATGTTGAATTTATTCGAAATATTCTATACATTTAGAACAATAATTTATTTAAATATTGGATTAGTTTGAAATATTGCATACTTTAATGCAAATATTGAATGCAATAAAGAACTTTTTAAACGTTAAAATTATTGGAAAATTGAATATTTTTGTAAATTAAATCGTTATAAATCAATTCAATATTTAAAATCAACGAATTTTTTAAAATATTGAATTTATTTTTAAATTATTATAAAAAATTTTTTTCTTTAGAATATTGGATTTATTTAGAAAAATAAATGCAATATAATCAATTGTTAATATTTAAACAGTTCTCACAGTAAAGAAAAGTAAAAAAAACATCAAATTTTTGTTACTTTTCTAAACATTTTATGCAATAATATAATGCAATATATTATTATTAAACTTATTTAATATATTGCACTAGCAATGCTTTGAATATTATAGTAATTTATTTGCCAAACAAATTAGTTGTAATGGAAAATTGCATAGAAATCCCAGAACGTGATAATCTGTACTCATTTCATGACACGTATTATATAACTTAATCCTCGAAGACCTATCAGGATATAGGATACAATAATTTGGGATTTTCGTGCAATTTGTGTAACAAGTAATACGTCCTGTAAATGATTTCAGTTAATGATGTGAAGCCAGAGGAAAAAAAAACAAGAAGTAATGCGACGTTTTCAATGATATTTATATTATGTGAAATTTCATTTGTTTAATGGAATTTATTTTCGGGTTTTATATATATATTATTTTATTGTAAATTTATTTATTTAGGTAATGCTTAAAATAGCTTCGATTATGATTATTCACTAATTATAATTATTATTATTATTTTTTTTACGTGATGCTGAAAGATGTATTATCGATTTTTGTGGTGTTATGTGGTTAAAAAAATTTTTAGAATAATTATTAGAATAAAAATTTACTGTAAATAAGCATCACATTATGTCCGAATAGTCGTTACAACCAAGACTCAATAATTTCCAGAATATAAAAGTAAATAATTGATAGAATAATTGACAGAATACAAAGCTGAATAGTCGACAGAATAATTGACAGAATACGAAGCTGAATAGTCAATAGAATAAGTGTAAGTAGTCGTCAGAATTATGATTGAATATTTATCAGGATCAATATTCGAATATTTACCTTCATCAAAGACTGAATATTTATTAAAATCAAAGACCGAACAGTTACCAGAACCAAAGACTGAATAAATCATTAGCAGCAAAACTGAATAGGAAAAAAAAAATAAGAATAAGTAATCATTAGAATCAATGATGAATAATAATTATATGTAATAAAAATTATATTCGATCCTTTTAAACAAAAAATCAAATATTCTTTAAGTTTTCCAACATACGATAACAGAAACAAATATACAAGATTCAGAGAGAGAAATAATTTTAATTAATTAAAATAACTAATTAGAAATAGAATTATTATTTCTCGACATCATTAACACAAAGAGTATAGGTTATTCACCTCCATCCTCATAAAAACGTGGTGTAATGATTTGTTAATGTACTACACTAACAAAGTACGTGAAGGACATGAATCACAAATTGGATTCATGAAAATTTTATTAACGTCTGTTTCAAGGAAAAAAACAGAGCTTAAAAATTTTTTAAAATGTAGAATTAATAATTGAGTTTATGTGAAATATTAAAATTTTAATAATTTAAAACTTTAAGCATTCATTTTCAGTCAGAAACTGAATTTTTTGGAATATATTAGGTTAATTTAAAGTAGCGAATTGTTTAGAGTAGGTACTAATCCATGTTCAAAAATATTCTAAACAATTCTTAAATTCAAATACGGAAACCGAATCAAAAGTTCGAATACCGAATTACTTTTAAACTGTGAATTTTTGGAATATATTGAATTTGAAACAGTAAATATACGGTATTATATTTGTGTACAACGGTGAATTTTTGAAATAATTAATTTGTTTACATGAGTTAAAGTTTAGAAACATGGTATTTGTTTAAAGAAGTTATCGAAAGCCTTAGATTTATTCGAATCAACAGGTTTCTTTGAAGAATTAACTTATCGAATAAAGATTTTTAAACGTGGGATTTATTTCAATGTATTCATTTGACACAGAGATTTAAACAAAGCATTGAATTTATTTGAAAGTTTATAATAATTGTAAACTTCAATCTAATGTTAGATTCTATGGAATATCATAAATTGCAACACAATTATAATTCGTGACATTACACGCATCAACGAATTGTTAATGGATCAGAGAATGGATTGAGTTATCTACAATAATCATGGATCGTTTTCCAAAAATACTATTTTAAAAAGCTTACGAGTGTTTTAAAGACTTTACAAAAAAAAAATCGTATTTTTAGTTGAATGCGTTACTATAAATAAACGTATCGTAACGTAATTATGTATTGATGCTTCGTAATGACCTACTGACGCACCGTAACGTAATGACGTACTAATGCATCTTAACGGATAATACAGAGAAAGTAACATGACATTTTAGATGCGTTATAATACTTTCTCTTGACATTGATAAACATATAATTTGAAGTCAATAACCGTAGCAAATAACAAACTGGAGATATTCAGAATTAATCAATGAAGCGAAGACATTCACAGTAATTACAAGAGACATTTAATTCCTTTTCATGCAACTTTATTAAGTAACTATCAATCGAAACGACTGTTAATAAACTCTCTTCATAACGAATTATAAATATTTAAATATAAAGAAATAAAAATATTCTGTATACTGTTTGATCTACATTAAACTTCATCACTTTCTGTACNATACAATTGTCATTTATTCAATTTAAACTGAATATTGAATAAGTACGACACCGAAGAGAAGCGTATAAGCTTTAATTTAATTTTTATAATGTACTTTTTTTTGGCTTATGAGAAACTCAATTAAGGGTAATTGAGTAAGTGTAAGAATATGAGTATAAGATTAGCATGTAAACTTTAATTTTTAAAGTAATTTTACAAGAATATTGGCTATATATGTATATGTATATTTTTTTATTTATGAGGACGAAGGGATATCTTATTTTTTCTAAGAAAACAATATTTAATAATGTAGGCCGATTCAGCATTAATGTACGATACTACTAAAGTGATACTAGATGCATATAGTAGATTATTAAAGAGGAAACCAGATATTTTCCGTAATAATTTCCGTCGAGGCGAAGTTTACAATAATGGTACAAAAGGTTTAGATTGCAGAAAAATGCCAGTTATTACATGGGAACACGGTGAGAAGATAATTAAATATTTAAGAAAAGTAAGTAAGTTCTAAACTTATTCCTTTACTATCCATAATAACTCACATTAGTTCAAATTAAATTCTAATAAAATAAATTTATATCAGGATAAAATATATTCTTATCTATAAATCTCATATAATAAAAGTTAAACTCAATTATAATTAAATAAGTGAAAGTGCTACGAACGTAAAGAAAGGAGAAAAAAGTCATTTTTATAGGTTGCTGAACGAAAAAATAATAATATAAAAAAAAAACAAAAATTAATTATTTACGGTTAGTTCGTTAAAGTAAAAAAATATATTAAAGAGTTTGTATTAAACAAAACATAAAAGTTAAGTCACTTTTAATGGCTTACATTTATTAACTTGTATGGGTTTTAATTAAAATTTGCTTTTGATGTCTCTTTCCATCGTGTGAATTTGTTAGTTCAACCAAAATAAAATCTTGTTGTTAATACATAAAGTAATTACAATATTTAAGATATTTTCTTTAAAAAAGTTGTAATTTATAAATAAATAATGAGTTGTAAATGAAAATTAAAAAAATAAAATAAAATAAAAATTATTTGGTTTAACTTTAATCTAGAAAAGAAATTAGACAAAAATAAATAAATCGAAACGATTTTTTAAACGTTTGAATAAATTTAATTTAAATTTTTCGAAATGGATTTGTTAAAAATTTTAAATTCGTCTTTTTCATATTCAACGTAATTTTAATTGTTATTAAATGTGAAATCGACAATTTATTTAATTACAATTAGGTTTCGAAATTGAAACTTATTTTAAGACGATTTAGTTAATTACAATTAATATTTTTAACTTCATTTTTTTAAGCGTGTTTAATGATTTAAAAAAACGGGGAAAAATCATAGCAGTTTATTTAATTGTAATTATCTAATTTCCTATAATAATCCTAAAAAAATAAGTTTATAAATAAAAGACAGACCTAATTTTTATAAAATGAAATACTAAAAAGTATTTTATGTTTATAATATTTTATGATATTTTTAATGCAGTTTTTTTCAAATATTATTTTAAATTATAGACTGATATAACAGGATTAACAGGAAACATTACTTTTGACGATTTTGGGTACAGAAGGAATTTCTCAATCGATGTGGTGGAAATGACTATTAACAATGAAATGGTGAAGGTGAGTAGCACCAGATGGCGCTCTAAGTCAAACACCCTTTTCGGAATAATTGAAACAAATATATTAATTTTTTAAATGATTCATAATTAATTTCTTAATTTTAATATTTAATTAATTTGTATTTAAATTTTTAAAAAATAAAATAAAATAATAATTGCAATAATATTTAAATAATTCTTTAGGTTGCTCATTGGTCTGATAAATCTGGCTTGCTAATGAACCCTCCAAAATATCGTCGAGTTCCTCAAAATACTGGATTCGAAAATAAAACTTATACTGTTACAAGTATTCTTGTACGTTTTTTTTTCTTTATTTTTTCTTAAATTTTTTTAATTAATAAAAAGTATGTAAAAACTTAATTAAAAAGTAATTATTTTTGTGTAGGAAGAACCATACCTGATGCAAAAAAGATCAGAAAACGGTGATGGGAATGAAGAGTTCGAAGGTTATTGCAAAGATTTAGCTGATCTGATAGCTGAAAACATGAAAATTAATTATACCATGAGGCTTGTAAATGATTCAAAATATGGAGGACAAGATCCTAGATCCACAGCTGGATGGAATGGAATGGTTGGAGAATTAATAAGAGAAGTAAGTAACCTGAGAAATTTATGGTGATGCTTCCTTGTTTATTTCTACCTTTATCTTACGAAATTAATAAATTTTAAATACAATAAACTGAGAGTAGTTGAAAATTAATTCTAGTTATTAGAATTATTGATTCGTTAATAATTAATTTAATTTTATAACGAAAGTTTTTAAAATAAAAGTTTAAAGGATAGAATTTGTTGAATTTCTACGTTAATTGATTATTTTTAAAATATTATTTAGAGTAATTTGTATTATTTTCCAACTTCTTTGATTTAAGACTATTTTTAATTATATCGCTCATTAAAAGGAAAGGAATATTTAAAATTTCTTAATAAAATGTCAAAATATATCTAAGTATAAATAATTTATTTTCTAATTTCATTTTCTTCACTTTTAATTAATACTCGTTTCATAAATTTTATTTATATAGAGANAAGATAATTAAATATTTAAGAAAAGTAAGTAAGTTCTAAACTTATTCCTTTACTATCCATAATAACTCACATTAGTTCAAATTAAATTCTAATAAAATAAATTTATATCAGGATAAAATATATTCTTATCTATAAATCTCATATAATAAAAGTTAAACTCAATTATAATTAAATAAGTGAAAGTGCTACGAACGTAAAGAAAGGAGAAAAAAGTCATTTTTATAGGTTGCTGAACGAAAAAATAATAATATAAAAAAAAAACAAAAATTAATTATTTACGGTTAGTTCGTTAAAGTAAAAAAATATATTAAAGAGTTTGTATTAAACAAAACATAAAAGTTAAGTCACTTTTAATGGCTTACATTTATTAACTTGTATGGGTTTTAATTAAAATTTGCTTTTGATGTCTCTTTCCATCGTGTGAATTTGTTAGTTCAACCAAAATAAAATCTTGTTGTTAATACATAAAGTAATTACAATATTTAAGATATTTTCTTTAAAAAAGTTGTAATTTATAAATAAATAATGAGTTGTAAATGAAAATTAGAAAAATAAAATAAAATAAAAATTATTTGGTTTAACTTTAATCTAGAAAAGAAATTAGACAAAAATAAATAAATCGAAACGATTTTTTAAACGTTTGAATAAATTTAATTTAAATTTTTCGAAATGGATTTGTTAAAAATTTTAAATTCGTCTTTTTCATATTCAACGTAATTTTAATTGTTATTAAATGTGAAATCGACAATTTATTTAGTTACAATTAGGTTTCGAAATTGAAACTTATTTTAAGACGATTTAGTTAATTACAATTAACATTTTTAACTTCATTTTTTAAGCGTGTTTAATGATTTAAAAAAACGGGAAAAATCATAGCAGTTTATTTAATTGTAATTATCTAATTTCCTATAATAATCCTAAAAAAATAAGTTTATAAATAAAAGACAGACCTAATTTTTATAAAATGAAATACTAAAAAGTATTTTATGTTTATAATATTTTATGATATTTTTAATGCAGTTTTTTTCAAATATTATTTTAAATTATAGACTGATATAACAGGATTAACAGGAAACATTACTTTTGACGATTTTGGGTACAGAAGGAATTTCTCAATCGATGTGGTGGAAATGACTATTAACAATGAAATGGTGAAGGTGAGTAGCACCAGATGGCGCTCTAAGTCAAACACCCTTTTCGGAATAATTGAAACAAATATATTAATTTTTTAAATGATTCATAATTAATTTCTTAATTTTAATATTTAATTAATTTGTATTTAAATTTTTAAAAAATAAAATAAAATAATAATTGCAATAATATTTAAATAATTCTTTAGGTTGCTCATTGGTCTGATAAATCTGGCTTGCTAATGAACCCTCCAAAATATCGTCGAGTTCCTCAAAATACTGGATTCGAAAATAAAACTTATACTGTTACAAGTATTCTTGTACGTTTTTTTTTCTTTATTTTTTCTTAAATTTTTTTAATTAATAAAAAGTATGTAAAAACTTAATTAAAAAGTAATTATTTTTGTGTAGGAAGAACCATACCTGATGCAAAAAAGATCAGAAAACGGTGATGGGAATGAAGAGTTCGAAGGTTATTGCAAAGATTTAGCTGATCTGATAGCTGAAAACATGAAAATTAATTATACCATGAGGCTTGTAAATGATTCAAAATATGGAGGACAAGATCCTAGATCCACAGCTGGATGGAATGGAATGGTTGGAGAATTAATAAGAGAAGTAAGTAACCTGAGAAATTTATGGTGATGCTTCCTTGTTTATTTCTACCTTTATCTTACGAAATTAATAAATTTTAAATACAATAAACTGAGAGTAGTTGAAAATTAATTCTAGTTATTAGAATTATTGATTCGTTAATAATTAATTTAATTTTATAACGAAAGTTTTTAAAATAAAAGTTTAAAGGATAGAATTTGTTGAATTTCTACGTTAATTGATTATTTTTAAAATATTATTTAGAGTAATTTGTATTATTTTCCAACTTCTTTGATTTAAGACTATTTTTAATTATATCGCTCATTAAAAGGAAAGGAATATTTAAAATTTCTTAATAAAATGTCAAAATATATCTAAGTATAAATAATTTATTTTCTAATTTCATTTTCTTCACTTTTAATTAATACTCGTTTCATAAATTTTATTTATATAGAGAGAGAGAGGTCCAAAAGTCAATTAACCATTGACTAACCTGCTGTCTTATTCAGTTTATTACTTACAAACATTACAAAAATTGTTTAAAATAAAATTATTCTTGTTCAATACACAAATTACAATATCACAAGTATAGTTTAACCCAAAAGCAAAACAGAGCTANATTATATATGAAAAAAATACAATTTACAACTTTAAATACAATTAAAAATAAAAATACAATTGTATTTTTTAATATTAAAAAAACAATTTACAAAAAGAAAATTATGTTTATTTTTTTATTTTTGTTTCTGTTTAATTACATTACTAAAAAATATTTTTTCTTGCTTTTATACATATGAATTTAATTTAGAATTTCCATTAATTGTAAATGATTCTGCAAAAAGAAACAAAGAAATAAATCTAAAAATCATGTAATATATAAAATACTTTTTCAGATAAAAAAAATTTTAATAGCATTTTTCCAAAAAAAAGAAAAAAAAATCTTATCGTAAGAAAGAAAAAATTAAAGAGAAATAAAGATAAAAATCATCTACATGGAGTAATTATATTCTGTACCGATTAAAGTAATTTGATCTTGCAGAACTAACATTGTACGTTGAACTAACATGTTGTACTAATGATGACAAGCATCGCATTACATACGAAAAGGCTCGAAAACATAAAAAAAAAACAAGTCGAGATATTAAATTTCAGGTCCACTTTTCTAAAATGCCTTTAAACAGAATGAAAAATGATCCTATCTTCATCATCTAAAGTCACTTTAAATGTCAACAAAATAATAAAAAAAGTTATACTTTTAAATTTAGAATTATTTTATATAACATTACAATTTGTTTATTTAATCGAAATTCTATATATTATGATTATTTAAACTTTATTTTTCTTTCTATGAGAATTTAATTATATAAATAAGAAAGAAAATCGAATTATTTATTTATTTATTTATTTATTTAGTATTAAAAGAAATAAATTACTTCTGAAAGGTTTCATTTTATCACAAATTTTATTATTATTTTTTTAAAGAAAAATTTGTCAAAGGTTATTACTTCCATAAATTCAACATTTTCTTTTATGTAATTTAATTTCTGGTTGTATATCACTTGTAGAAGGGGTGCAGTCGATACTTAAGTGGTGGAGGCACAAATGATCAAATGATTAATCCAATCAAATGAATATAACTCTAGATTTTCTAGAATTAGGAATTCAAATATTTTACATCATTTTTTTTCTTAGATTTATATGTATATATATATATATATATTTCCTAAGAAATATTTTTATTGATTCGAAAAGACGTACAAAACCCATAAGCTGATTTACAACAATGTGTCAAGAATGATCACTCGACTCGAACACGATACAAACTCAACAATATAGGTTTCGTAATAAATCATTCAGTACTTTTTATATAAAAAGTCAGCAGAATGCAAGCTTTTTATTACTTTACAAATAACGGTGTATATATATATAAAGCAATATTTTATATTTAGAAAGTGCAAAACTATATTGTAAATTCTGTCACGTCTAATGTATAAATAATTTATACGTTGTTAGGTGTTGTTGCTGTTTTTTGCTTTTTAATGTGAATAATAATTAATTTTATTCAAGTAATTTTTTTACTTTCGTTGTTATAATCTGAACGGTTGCATCTTGAAGCACCACCAGAAGACATCTAGAAGAAGAATCATCTGTTGATTTATTGCTTAAGTTTTATCATTTTCATTGTGTTTTTTATGTATGCGACTATAAACAGTGTATTTTTAATATATTAATGAAGTTATGGAGCGAAAGTAAAGGCTTTTTTTATTATTATAGAAGTATCCTGCTTCCAATAATTAAGAAAAGCTGGCATTTCTGTAAAATTCAGAGCATTTACAATAATTTTCTGATAAACGTGTATATTTAATATAACAAAAATTTATTATGTTTGTAACAGAAAAAATATTCGATATCGAAATAATTTAATTTGATTTTTTTAAGGAAGTTGATATGGCAATCGCTCCATTAACTATAACATCTGCAAGAGAAAGAGTTATCGATTTTACAAAGCCATTCATGTCATTGGGTATCAGTATCATGATTAAAAAACCGATGAAGAAAAAACCGGGAGTATTTTCCTTTATGAATCCGCTATCTAAAGAAATTTGGATGTGCATCATATTTGCTTACGTTGGTGTTTCTGTTGTACTTTTTCTTGTCAGCCGATTTTCACCACACGAGCTTCGATATGAAGATACATACGTCGGTCCGACTGTCATCAACGATTTTTCTTTATATAACAGTCTATGGTTTTCTTTGGGTGCCTTTATGCAACAAGGATGTGATGTTTGTCCGAGGTATAATGTATTTAAATTTCTAAAAATTCACAATAAATTTCATTTTTCTTGTATCAATATACGTAAAATTTTGTATTTTTAGATCAATATCGGGTCGGATTGTTGGAAGTGTCTGGTGGTTTTTTACATTAATCATTATATCATCATACACAGCCAACTTAGCAGCCTTTCTAACAGTAGAAAGAATGGTAACGCCAATTAATTCAGCTGACGATCTTGCGAAACAGACTGAAGTTGAATATGGTACTTTAGTAGATTCGTCTACTCAAGAATTTTTCAAGGTAAATTTTACATTGAAGACACTTTAAAAATATTTTGTGCCATATATTATAATCCTATATACTATTTATAATGTAATCTTAAAGATTAGCTAGTTTATATACGTTTCTTTGGATAATAAATGACATTTTATTAATGGAATTGACATATTTTAAAACTTTAATCTGATGTAACTGTCAAAGTGTGACAGTTGGAATTATTAAACGAATATTCAATTCAGAATTTATGATTTCTTCTTTCTTTTCTAATTTTCTTTCCCTGATTCGAATGATTAGAGTCAATCCTTCGAGACCAAACATGTCCCTTGATACTTTTCCAACTTCCACATACGAAAGACTATCAAGGGACTGGTTTCCAGTTTAACAGAACACGTGACTAGATTACTCTTCTGGATAGGAAAAGATAAATTATCTACATCTTTTCCTATCCGGCTTTCGTTTTTTTCCTATTTTATTCATTATAATATATATANAGGTCGTTTCGAATCTACTTGGGAGTATTATTTTCATTTTCTGTATAATTTATACAGGCTAGTCATTATAATATATATATATATATAAGAACATTTATAATTAATTTTATATGCGCTTGCATACCTATTTGAAAATATATGTAAACTAAATATAAACTTCTTATTGCAAATGTTGACGTGTAAAATACATCCAAACATACCTCTTAAATTTATTTATTTTGGTATTGATATTTTAGAAAGATAAACTTTTCTATTAAACTAAAATGTGCAATGTGATATCATCTTGTTACTTAACTTTATCAGATGAATATAAAATGTAATTTGTAAATCAATATGGTAAAATTTACAAAATAAAGAAATTTTTTAGGATATATTTCAAAAGTTTATACTAGATTTTATTGTAATACAAAAAAAATATTTTTTTTACAAAGAAAAATTTACATTTGAATTTTATTACTTGGCAATATGATTATGTTCCATTTCATACATTATTTTTGCAACATACTTGTAAGTAAACAATATCAAAAATTACATTTTTCTTGTCTACTAGAATTGCTTTTACAGTAATTTGCATAGGAATAAAATATTTGAATATATATTTATATATAAACTTAAAATTACAAACTAGATATCGATTTGTCAAGTTGACAGTTTAGAAAAAAGAAATTCTTTAACTCTCCTCCCGCAAAATTTTTATATTGTGTTGTTGCAGCATCTAAAAAGTCTATAAAGTTTTCTAACGGTATCTTCTTTTATGTCTCTATTGTTGTATTCACCAATATTTTTTACTTTAAGAGGATTACACCGATCTGCTACGTGTTCCTGTTCGAAATGAACACAACAAACCAAACTTGTATATACTTGTATTGAAGGCATGTTTTCATTAGTATGCTGTTCTGGTCTTTACTAGTCCATTTTCATAAAGTTTCTCAATCCATTCTAGTCTAAAACACCCTCTTTTATGTTATTTTATATTCTTTACAGCGAAATTGTATTAGGATAACATTTTTATAATCCTTCTTCAATTGTATCATAGTGAAACTTATACATGATTAATTATAGAAAAATATATTTTTCTGTAACTACGTCAATTTCTCTTATTTATTTTAATGGCTACTTTTTTGAATCTATAAAATAACTGAATTATAGAAAGGATAAGAGAAGAAACTTTTTATTGTTTTTAATAAATTTTTTTAGATATTATTTTTGGTTTTTTTTGGATAGTTTTAAAAGAAATTTGGATATTTTTGTAGAAATCAAAAATAGCAGTTTATGCAAGAATGTGGGAATTTATGAATTCGCGCAAACATGTTTTCGTATCTTCGTACGAAGAAGGAATAAAAAGAGTCAGGGAATCAAAAGGAAAATATGCTTTTTTAATTGAATCAACGAAAAATGATTATACCAACGAAAGGCAACCATGTGATACAATGAAAGTTGGGAGGAATTTAGATGCCAAAGGTTATGGTGTTGCTACACCATTAGGTTCGACGTTAAGGTAAATAATTTTTTGAAATATTAATCAATTAATTTTTATATTATAACAAATGCTTAGTATTCACAAAAATTTTATAATTTTACTTTACGTATTTTATATGCATGTAAATTAAAGATTTAAATACTTTTATACTTATCAACATCCTAGAAACTAATTTAATATAGACAATTCTTTTACTTTTATTGATGATAATTAATACTTATAACTTTATTAAAATATTTGAAAACTTTTCGTATTATTGTAATCAATCTATTAAATTTACTATTGTATGTGGAGATAACGGAAACAAATGAGTAAACCGTTATTACACATTTTGAATTCCATCCATTTCATTGGATAATTTTGAATTTAAATAGGCCAATCCGCGACGACCGGATGGTCGAAGTGATTAAGGTGTTATCAATCGCCCTGGGAACCGGAATCGAATTCAAGAGAATAAATTCAATAATTTTAATGGGCGGTCTGTTGAATCCTGCCCCTAAACACAAAGGTAGTGAGAGATAGGATCCGACATCGTGGTCTTGTAAAAAAAAAAAAGCCACCCATATTGCGGAGTTCAGAAGAAACCTGCTGTTGTTACGTGTTTGAAAAATTTTAATTTAGAAAACAGTTTTATAAAATGTAAATATAATAAAAAATACTGGTAATATTCGGTATAGGTTTATGATCAGAGATAAAAATACTGTATAAAACATTAATTCACGAAATTCACTTATCGAAGTGCTATAGTTATGATCCATAAAGATGGTCGATACAGTTACTTTTCTTCTAACAAAACTTTGCCATTGGTTGAATGATATGATATATTTGATAAAGTATAGAAGCGTACAATAAAGAAATGAAAATGGCTTCCGTATATCTTTTTATTTTCTTTTACTACTCCCAAAAGAAATTTGATAAATATTTCTTTTCAACCACGTTTCTTTCCTTTCACGAAGGCTAATTTTTTAATCTTTACGTAAAATAAATTATAATTTTATTTATATATTTCATTAATGTCTGTACTTTTTTGAATTTTTTTTTTAGAGATCAAATTAATTTGGTGGTGTTGTTACTGAAAGAAAAAGGAGATTTAGCTCGTTTAGAAAATAAATGGTGGTATGATAGAAGTGAATGCAGAAATGGCGACAGTAAGGTAAGTTTTTTTTTCTTGTTTAATAACAAAATAAATAATAAAAATATATGTTTCTAGTTATCAAGTACATTAAACAGTGCTTATGTCCTCCATATTGAAAAAATTTGCATAAGAAAAACATATGAATATTTTTCTTAAATTTAAAAGTATTATATGTTGAATTGTATGCGGAAATTATATTTAGTTCTTTTATATAGAAAATACTACTGTTGACATTAAATATAACAGACAAATAGAGAGAAGCTGGTCCGATTATGTCGATTGTCCATTATATCCGAAGATGTTATTATCAACGACAAAACCAAATTCTTATATGCGATATGACAGAAGACACAAACATCCTATATCGTGGTATACACGAAAGAAATAAACACCATACTTTCTAGTAGTGACATAAACAGTAGACAATACCTAGCGGACATTCTGATCTCTACTGCAATCATATATTCTGAAATACTATGTATTTATTCCAACAGATGCCATAGAATAAATTGATTTGATTCGTTGTTTCCGAAATCTATTATATAGGAGTTAATAAACTCGATGGCCAATAGTGTACAGTATACTTTCCATACAAACAGTATTAGAAAATTCTTGCATACAGCAAGTACAGTACTGTATGTGCTATTTCCTTTATGGTAAAACATTAAAAAAGTACTTCATACAAAAATGAATGATCTTCTCCTATCCATATTGCGGAGTTCAGAAGAAACCTGCTGTTGTTACGTGTTTGAAAAATTTTAATTTAGAAAACAGTTTTATAAAATGTAAATATAATAAAAAATACTGGTAATATTCGGTATAGGTTTATGATCAGAGATAAAAATACTGTATAAAACATTAATTCACGAAATTCACTTATCGAAGTGCTATAGTTATGATCCATAAAGATGGTCGATACAGTTACTTTTCTTCTAACAAAACTTTGCCATTGGTTGAATGATACGATATATTTGATAAAGTATAGAAGCGTACAATAAAGAAATGAAAATGGCTTCCGTATATCTTTTTATTTTCTTTTACTACTCCCAAAAGAAATTTGATAAATATTTCTTTTCAACCACGTTTCTTTCCTTTCACGAAGGCTAATTTTTTAATCTTTACGTAAAATAAATTATAATTTTATTTATATATTTCATTAATGTCTGTACTTTTTTGAATTTTTTTTTAGAGATCAAATTAATTTGGTGGTGTTGTTACTGAAAGAAAAAGGAGATTTAGCTCGTTTAGAAAATAAATGGTGGTATGATAGAAGTGAATGCAGAAATGGCGACAGTAAGGTAAGTTTTTTTTTCTTGTTTAATAACAAAATAAATAATAAAAATATATGTTTCTAGTTATCAAGTACATTAAACAGTGCTTATGTCCTCCATATTGAAAAAATTTGCATAAGAAAAACATATGAATATTTTTCTTAAATTTAAAAGTATTATATGTTGAATTGTATGCGGAAATTATATTTAGTTCTTTTATATAGAAAATACTACTGTTGACATTAAATATAACAGACAAATAGAGAGAAGCTGGTCCGATTATGTCGATTGTCCATTATATCCGAAGATGTTATTATCAACGACAAAACCAAATTCTTATATGCGATATGACAGAAGACACAAACATCCTATATCGTGGTATACACGAAAGAAATAAACACCATACTTTCTAGTAGTGACATAAACAGTAGACAATACCTAGCGGACATTCTGATCTCTACTGCAATCATATATTCTGAAATACTATGTATTTATTCCAACAGATGCCATAGAATAAATTGATTTNAATAACTTTTACCATAAATAATAATAATAATTATTATTATTTTCAATATAAAATTTATATAGTTTATACTTGTTAATTATAAATTTAGAATATTTTATAGCAAAAATATATACAAAGAAAATTTTCTAATGATAATTTTTTGTAAATATAGAAAATTGTCATTAAAATAAATAAATGATGTATCATTCGTTATCAGATTTACAAAACATACTGCTTGCAGAAACCACGTATAAATGTGAAACGTGTAAAAATATAATCTGTTATATCATAATTCAGTCATTTTATGCATGAAAGAATAATAATTATAATATTACAAGATCTCGAAATAATTATAAAATATTTTATTATAGATATTTTTCTAAATATTGTAAAATCTTAAACATATACCCTATATGAATACAGTATATAAATATTTATATACACAAAATAACTATTATATAGCCTATATTATTATATACGTATACATGCAAAGATCCATAAAATACAGAGCAATGACAACGAGAATTGTATAATATTCTATGTGTATAGTGTATGAAATATATTGCTTACGTATATAATATATTCACATACACATATGAAAATATACATCTCTATGCCATGTCTGTTGTATATTACTTTGTATTGTTATTATATGTATGTATAAACAAATATTAAGCATACAATAACTTACAAAATAGAAATTAATAAAAGTGCGTATAAGTAATATAGAAGTACACTATATATATATTGTGCATATAGTATTACACAACGTCCATTATATAGTATGCATTTGTTACTGTCTATTTACGTATGCAATAATCTATACAATACAAAAACAATTTATACAAAGTATTGTACAGTACATTGCTTAACATCACTTACAAGTAAGCAATACACTGTATATGTACATTTATACAATACACACTGTACATATATTGTATAAGTATACATACACAGTATAAACATATATTATACAGTATATTTTTAAGAATATGTATCTATATATACATGTACATGTATAATATATAAAATTTTTATGGTTTCATGAAATTATACAGGGAAAATTATCCTATTTCTTCACATATTTATTTTGATAACTTTCTAAGTTTTCATTATTGCATCAGATATTTTTGATGTCCAAAAAAATAATATTTGTTGACATAGCTAAAAAAATTTAAAATACATAAAGAACTAAATTTCTTTAACATTAATGATAAATATAAATAAAAAAGCAATAATATAATTAAAAAGATTTTAATATATTTTACTCAACTTCTAAAGAAAAAAACTACATTACAAAATAAAAAAAAATTAACAAATATTGTAATGTTTAACATAACAAATTTTTTTTTATTTTAAATTTTAAAAATTTGTTACGTTAAATATTACTTTAAAAAATAAATAAATAAATAAATAAATAAAAACATAAAATTATTGCATGCTTGTTAAATTTTAATTTTAATTATCTTTTTAAGTGTGTTCATATCACTTGGATATGTGTATAAAGTACTTTTATGTTTTAATTCATCATCATCTGTTCTTTATTTTTTATGTTATTTTTACTATCTTTCCTTATTCATATTTACTTATTTCCTAATAATAAAAGAAATTCAAAAAATTATAGGGGTGAATAGGATCAACAAGAAAAAAAAACAAGAGCAAAAATTAAAAGATATTTTTATTAATAAAAAAACAGCATAAAAAATACAGTTTTTCTCAGTTGAATTTCAATTTATGTTGGCAAATTTTTTGAATTCATTTATAACACATATTTTTCCATAAGATTTTGTTTTTTATATTAATTTTTTCATATGGAAAAAAATATACAGAACTATAGAAGAAAGTACAACAGCGTGTTCCCTTTTTTTAGATAGGAACATGCCAATAAAAACTCCAAAAAACTTTTCTTTTAACAATTTTACATTTTGTTTTTTTTGACGGGAGAAGAAAAATTCTTCTCCTACTAATTACAATTTTTTCTTGTATTTTTTTGAAATTTTATGTGTTTATATATATTTTGAAAGAAAAAAAAACACAAATTTTAGAAACTAGTTTACAATAGAAAAAAATCTAAAAATGAATTTTGACATCCTGAGGGAGTACTGAACATTTTTTTTTCTCCAGTTGACGGTTATTAGGACGTACAAGCGTACACGAAAAGGAACCATTTGGGATGAATCCAAGATGGCTGAATCAGGAGGGAATAAAGAAAGAAAAGATGGTCCTAAGAGATACATCAGAGAACTTTGGAAATATCGTGTAAAGAAATTTATTAGAATCAATAAGAAATAAGTAGATGTGTGTTTAATTTTTAGTTTGGTGGGGTGAATAGGAACTGTACANCAGGTTTCTTTGAAGAATTAACTTATCGAATAAAGATTTTTAAACGTGGGATTTATTTCAATGTATTCATTTGACACAGAGATTTAAACAAAGCATTGAATTTATTTGAAAGTTTATAATAATTGTAAACTTCAATCTAATGTTAGATTCTATGGAATATCATAAATTGCAACACAATTATAATTCGTGACATTACACGCATCAACGAATTGTTAATGGATCAGAGAATGGATTGAGTTATCTACAATAATCATGGATCGTTTTCCAAAAATACTATTTTAAAAAGCTTACGAGTGTTTTAAAGACTTTACAAAAAAAAATCGTATTTTTAGTTGAATGCGTTACTATAAATAAACGTATCGTAACGTAATTATGTATTGATGCTTCGTAATGACCTACTGACGCACCGTAACGTAATGACGTACTAATGCATCTTAACGGATAATACAGAGAAAGTAACATGACATTTTAGATGCGTTATAATACTTTCTCTTGACATTGATAAACATATAATTTGAAGTCAATAACCGTAGCAAATAACAAACTGGAGATATTCAGAATTAATCAATGAAGCGAAGACATTCACAGTAATTACAAGAGACATTTAATTCCTTTTCATGCAACTTTATTAAGTAACTATCAATCGAAACGACTGTTAATAAACTCTCTTCATAACGAATTATAAATATTTAAATATAAAGAAATAAAAATATTCTGTATACTGTTTGATCTACATTAAACTTCATCACTTTCTGTACAACTACGTCACGTGTACACTTCTCATTCATATTATAATTAATTAATTTCGAATTATTCATCGTGTAATATATTACTCGAGGATTATTGGTCGGACACACATTCAAATTTGCATAAAACTTAATAACTTTTCGAGTTTTAAATGATTATTTTTTAAGCAATTCAATTTATTTCTATAGTATTGGATTTTTCGAACCGCAATTTTTCAAATCATTAAATTTATTTGAAAAAAATAAATTAAATTCGTTTGGAGCTAATTTTTTTTTTTCGAAAATTCATTTGTTTGAAGCTTTAATTTATTTTCGAAATATTGGATTTATTATTTAACTAAATATTGTGATTTATTTGAAAGTAATTTTTAGTAATGTTGTATTTGTTTAGAATGTTGAATTTATTCGAAATATTCTATACATTTAGAACAATAATTTATTTAAATATTGGATTAGTTTGAAATATTGCATACTTTAATGCAAATATTGAATGCAATAAAGAACTTTTTAAACGTTAAAATTATTGGAAAATTGAATATTTTTGTAAATTAAATCGTTATAAATCAATTCAATATTTAAAATCAACGAATTTTTTAAAATATTGAATTTATTTTTAAATTATTATAAAAAATTTTTTTCTTTAGAATATTGGATTTATTTAGAAAAATAAATGCAATATAATCAATTGTTAATATTTAAACAGTTCTCACAGTAAAGAAAAGTAAAAAAAACATCAAATTTTTGTTACTTTTCTAAACATTTTATGCAATAATATAATGCAATATATTATTATTAAACTTATTTAATATATTGCACTAGCAATGCTTTGAATATTATAGTAATTTATTTGCCAAACAAATTAGTTGTAATGGAAAATTGCATAGAAATCCCAGAACGTGATAATCTGTACTCATTTCATGACACGTATTATATAACTTAATCCTCGAAGACCTATCAGGATATAGGATACAATAATTTGGGATTTTCGTGCAATTTGTGTAACAAGTAATACGTCCTGTAAATGATTTCAGTTAATGATGTGAAGCCAGAGGAAAAAAAAACAAGAGCAAAAATTAAAAGATATTTTTATTAATAAAAAAACAGCATAAAAAATACAGTTTTTCTCAGTTGAATTTCAATTTATGTTGGCAAATTTTTTGAATTCATTTATAACACATATTTTTCCATAAGATTTTGTTTTTTATATTAATTTTTTCATATGGAAAAAAATATACAGAACTATAGAAGAAAGTACAACAGCGTGTTCCCTTTTTTTAGATAGGAACATGCCAATAAAAACTCCAAAAAACTTTTCTTTTAACAATTTTACATTTTGTTTTTTTTGACGGGAGAAGAAAAATTCTTCTCCTACTAATTACAATTTTTTCTTGTATTTTTTTGAAATTTTATGTGTTTATATATATTTTGAAAGAAAAAAAAACACAAATTTTAGAAACTAGTTTACAATAGAAAAAAATCTAAAAATGAATTTTGACATCCTGAGGGAGTACTGAACATTTTTTTTTCTCCAGTTGACGGTTATTAGGACGTACAAGCGTACACGAAAAGGAACCATTTGGGATGAATCCAAGATGGCTGAATCAGGAGGGAATAAAGAAAGAAAAGATGGTCCTAAGAGATACATCAGAGAACTTTGGAAATATCGTGTAAAGAAATTTATTAGAATCAATAAGAAATAAGTAGATGTGTGTTTAATTTTTAGTTTGGTGGGGTGAATAGGAACTGTACAATGTATATAAATGGCCCCTTATGATAAACAGAATCAGGTATTTTCTATGTTTATAAACACCTCTTGATCCTATCCACCCCACTCTTTTGCTTAATCCCATTTTTTAAGTTTTGCTTTTTTCTATCTTCCTTTCTTCGTATTCTATATATAAATATATATATATATAATTATTAT